ACGGATGGATGGATGAATGGCTGAGCAGAAGCGTGGTCAGATAGGCCGGGTCGGTAACGGTGGGGACAGAGCGGTACAAGGCAGCAGGCACAGAATAGTTGGGTCACTCGCCAGGTCAGTAACAGGAGATCAGATCCAATGAGGGTATCCAAAGAGAAGTCAGACAGGCCAGGGATCAGGGCAGGAGAAGTCAGCAGAGGTCAAGATCAAAGCAGGGTCAGCAACAAATCAGATAGGCAGATATGCAGGAACACAGGATACCAGATACAGGGGCTCGTGGGAAACAAACACCAAGGCACTGATTGCAGGCCTGGTCCTGCTTAAATAGACCTCCTGCAATCAGCCTCAGGTGATGGCTTGATTGCAGGAGTGAGACCCTGGCTGCTGAAAGCACCCTCTGGTAGGAGCTGGTACTGCAGCCCACAGAGCAAGTGAGCCACAACACCACCAGTGGTGAGTCCATTCCTGACATAGCCTACAGTTTACAGAGGCTTTATCACAGTATTGATTATCATCTCTGTTTTTTAATTCCACTAATTACTGATGATTTTGTGGATTACCAGGTTTAGTCTAATTTAGCACTGTGACTAGGAAGGAGAAAAAAACACTGTGACTAAAAGGAGGGAACATGAGATTAGTAAAGTAGAGATTTCTGCAGATCCTGACCTGGAGTGCATAGCATCTGGGATTGCAGCATGCAGGCACTGGCACAAGAAGAACTTGGCCTGGGCAGGGTGGTAGGAAAGCTTTGCAACATCTCCTAGGCAATGCTCTCTCACCAGAACTGAGCCTCCCAGCTGTATTGATGAGCCACTCAGGCTCTCTCCTTCTAGTACTTGCAGCTCTCCACATGGACATCTGTCAGTAAAGGAATCCTCAGTAAAGGAAGCTGACAGGCTTAGAGAGACATTCTGACAGTGGAGGCATCAAGGGCTGGATAGGGACAGCCAAAGGGCTAGATGTCAGGGCTAGACCAACCTTTCTCAACCTTTCTAAAATGGAGGAATTCTTGAAATAATTTTCTGGTCTGAGAGAACCTCCGCTAATATTTACTATATCTACCGCTCACAATACATTAGTGTGATGGTCAGTGGGAGGAATGCTCCCTACATTTGTGGTCATTAGGAAGGATCCCCCTCTTATTGATAGCTAAAAAGATCATTGTTGTCAGCTGGAATTTGTCTGAGAAGCAGAAATGTCTCCTTGCTTAAGAAACCCAGAGGATCCCTGTTTAAGAAAGTTTGGGCAAGGCTGAAGTTAATACAACCAAAATAATTTGCAATTTTTTGTGTGAAGAACAAAAACACTGTAACAGTGCTGGAACATGGTATTTTCATTTCCCATTGTCATTTTTCTTTCTGCCAGCAATATGAAGTTTTAAAATGTGTTACTTAAAGCAGTTGTACAGGATAACATTTTTGTCATTAAAATAATCAACATTGTATACTTACCTAGCAACTTGAAGAAAAGTGAACAAGATGTCCACCAAAGCGGTTACAAAAAGGACCATGCGGTAAACCATGGTATTTTACAGATATTAAAATTAATTTTATTCATACTTTAGAATATAAATATGTAGAATTGCCAATCATTTAACAAAAGATAATTAAACACCGATATCCATCACCTCACCAAGATAAAGATTTGAGATAATCTTTGTAAGTATGAAAGGAAAGCCCTTAAAGAATTAAGAGAGGCAAAGAATATTATAATCAATAGGAGTAATAAGGGAGGAAACGTGGTAACCCTGAAAGAAGAGAATTATGTTAGGGAAGTTAAACGCCAATTAGAGAATATAAATACATATTGTAAAATATCTGAAAATCCACTTCCCATACTGGTAAAAAAAAATGAATTCTATGTTGATTCTGGCAAAAGACACCAATCTACTCACAAAAAAAGAATTGGAATTCCTTAAAGTGGAAGAGTTCAATTATCCAACCTTCTATATAATTCCCAAGATTCATAAGGACCCAGAAAATCCATCGGGCCGATCAATAGTATCAGCCGTTAATGGACTTCTTGAGAGAACGGGCATATATATATTGACCTGCTCCTTAAAGAAGTGGTACCAATTTATGCTAGTTATGTTTGGTTACTGGACCACACATATTTACAGTGTGGCGGATACCTAGAATATTTGTAACCTCCTTCCTCATTTTATATTAATTTATCATGGTATGCTTACCTACTCTGTGCAATGGTATTGTCTGGGGGCCCCCGCCAGTGCTCTCGGCTCCTCCTCTTCTATGTTTGCCCCCATAGCAAGCTGCTTGCTATAGGAACACACATGTAGGCTTGCTCCCAAGCCGTGTGGTGTGCGTCCATAGACACACACAGCATGGCTCCCTCCCCACAGAATTTGACTGACAGCAGCAGCAGCCAATGACAAAGGGACAATACAATTACTGGGACATTTGTTACCTTAATGCAGAAAATGCATTAAGGTAAAAATGTCTTGCCTTTACAACCTCTTTAATCTCTCTGCTTTGTAATTAATGGGAGTCCTCCAGGATTTGTCTTCTGCTCAAGAAGTAACATAGGAGAATGGCTCCAAACAGATATGAAATGTGCCAGAAGCTGACTTGTTTCAAAAAATAATCTAAACACAAGATCATAAGTACAGCATTTCAACAAGACATGATAGTGCACTGTATGTATAATGTAACTTCAGTAGGAAGATCTGCATTTTTCTTGTAAGTTTGCAATACTAGAAATACTAGAATCTGTGTATTTTTATGCTGCAGGAAAACTTTTTCTTAAAAGCATTTTTTAATTTTAGGCCACACAGATCTGTATAGCATAGTAGTGCCCTACGCGTGCCGCCATTCACGAACGCGGGTGTCAATCATCGTGTCCTGGCCAGTAATTACCCGCCGGCACCTGGTGATTATTGAGCATCTCCGACAGGGAGGAAGATTGTTTTGTTTACAAACAATCTTCCTTCCTGTCAGCTCAAGCACACTGCTCGGGATGGCTGTGCACAGTACAGCCATCCAGATCAGTGTGCATACAGTGAAGAACACCCCCCCCCCCCCCTAGTAAAACACACACAGCACACAGTTAACCCTTTGATTGCCCCTCACATTAACCCCTTCCTGCCCAGTGCCATTAGTACAGTGTCAGTGCTTGTTTTGTAGCTCTAATCACTGTATTGGTGTCACTGGAGATGTCAGTAACACCAAGTTAGTTCCCCTCCAGTGTCAGAATGTTCGCCACAGTCCCACTAAATGTTGCTGATCGCCGCCATTACTAGTAGAAAAAACAAATCCCATTATCTATACTGGCATTTGTAAACACTATAATTTTCATGTAAATCCATTAATTTACACGTATTGGGATTTGCTTTTAGCACAGATATGTAGCAGAATACATTTTGGCCTAAATTAGATTTTTACAATTTTTTTACTGGACATGTTTAATAGCAAAAAGTCCAAAATATTGTTTTTTTCTCAAAATTGTCGGTCTTTTCTTGCTTATAGCACAAAAAATAAAAAACTCACAGGCAATCAATTACCACTGCAAGAAAGCTCAATTCGTCAGGAAAAAAAAGAAATAAATTTAATTTGGCTGCAGCATTGCATGAACACACAAATGTCAGTTACAGTAACGCAGCACCGTAATGCAAAAAATGGCCTGTTCAAGAAGGGGGGGGGGATCCTCAGGAGGGCAAGTGGTTGAGAATGGAGGCAGTGTGACCTCTCAGCAATCCCACATCACTGCATGGCCAGTTCACCCTTCCCTATGCTATTCAAAACGTAAAAATTATTTTGTGGCTGGAGTTACACCTAAAATATGTACCTGTTCCAACTGACATACAAATTCAACTTAATGTGGTTGTAAAGGGCCAAGGTTTTGTACATTTTTACATTCATGCATTCTATGCATGAAAGTAAAAATCCTTCTGCCCCCTCATAACTTACCCATCACGATCCAGTGATGTGCACGACAGCCTCGGCTATCCAGGGTCTCTGCCTTATGTCAATTACAGCCAGTCAACCAATGAGGAGAGAGAGAGGGCAGGGCCAAGTCATGACTTTGTGTGTGAGTGGACACATAGAGCAGTGGATTTGGAACATGCCTGATCGAGTGCCCCCATAGCAAGCTGTTTGCTGTAGGGGCACCCGACAGAAAGGAGGAGCCAGGAGTTCCGACAGGGGACCCAAGAAGAGGAGGATCCAGGCTGCTCTGTGCAAAACCACTGCACACAGCAGGTAAGTATAACGTTTTTTTTTTTTTTTACAAAGAAAAAAAAAATTAACGTTTAGTATCGCTTTAAGAACAAACCTACAGAACCTATCTTGTTCGTAACCCAGGAACTGCCTGTATACAGCTGAAAACACCTTAATGTAGAAAAATAAACTTTATTTAACAGTTATTTATATATTCCTTTTATGATGCCCTATCCATTCAAACATGTTGTAACAGAAAGGTATTACGCAGCACACGCAGGCACAGGGAGAACAAGCAAACTCCAGGCAGGTGGTGCCGTGGTTGGGATTACAAACCAACGACCCTAATACTGCCAGGCGGAAGTGCTAACCATTTAGCCACTGTGTATTGTACATACAGTATATAAATAATAGCATTTCCATGAGAATTTTTTTTTTAGAGTGCCAATTTCTTTTTGGGAAAATTCAACTACAATTTAATTTTCATTTTACTATTGGGCATCTTTGAAAAATCACTATCATTAACCGATCATTAACACAACTGACTAATCAATAATACTTTAACTTGACTCAACAACAAGCCATAGATTGTGTGACATGCTTATTGCTGCAATCTTCTTGTCAAGTGTCATGTCAGTCCTTTTATGTCACTTTCTCCTACCTGACTGAGTGACTTTGTATCAGATTAATCAGTCTTTGCTTTGCGATCTGTTTCCATGTCTGAAACTTAACACAATAATAGCTTGCATGTCAATAGGTCTGCATATATTTACTATTAGGACTCACCAACTGCCCAATGAGGATATCTCCGAAACACATCAGTTTTGCCTAGTTTCCCAGTTTCCTCCATGAACTCCGTGCAACCAGAGAGCGAGATGAAGGAGAAGAGCAGCAGGTAGCCAGGATCCCAATGGGCAGGATTCTGATAGCAGGAACTGCAGTCATGTCTGTGCTGTGTGCTCTGTAGAGATGTGTGAGTCTGGGGGATGCCTTTGTTGATCTCTCCTCTCTGCCCTTTATAAAGTAGGTGCTCTGGGAGGGAAACAGCATCCTTGTGATGATTTACACATCCGTTTTCTTATTCTGCAGAGCTTAACTCTACATCATCTGCAGTGACTGTGGATAAAAATGCTCAGCTGTATGGGAAAAATGTAATATGCATGATAGAGCTAGGATGCCATGAAAACTGAGCCTAAATTATGGAGATTCAGCTTTTTGTAAAAAAAAAAACAAAGTTGACATAAAGATTTTTTAATCAGTAATGTAAACATAAGAAAGTACATACTATTTATTACAGGTACTTATATAGTGCTGTGAATTTACACAGCACTTTACATATATATACATATTGTACATTCACACCAGTCCCTAACCCTAAAGGGGCTTACAATCTAAGGTCCCTAACTCCCATTCATACACATACTAGGGCCAATTTATAGTAGCCAATTAACCTACCAGCATGTCTTTGGAGTGTGAGAGGAAACCTACACAGCCACAGGGAGAACATGCCAACTGCAGGCAAGTAGTGCCATGGTTAGGATTCAAACCAATGACCCTAGTGCTGCCAGGCATAAGTGCTAACCATTTAGCCACTGTGCTGCTCCACCCATTTACTCGGTTCACATTTGTGCAACAGGCAAAATTATGATGGTGTCAAGAATTAGCTGAATCAATATATTTATATAATGCATTTTTATTTGATGGGAGGCAGTAGATGTGAAAATCAAAAACTTCTACATATGTAATGCTTTCCTAGGTACACATGGATACTTGGGTAGATAGATCCATTGAGAATTGGTTAGGATATAAAACTCCACACAACTCCACTACACATCTAGGAATGTCCATTCATTTCCACTCCGCAATGCTAGCAGTGATCTGACGATTGCAGAAAAATGTTATGTAGCAGAGTGTGGACTTGATACTATCTGGAGTAAATTTGGTAACATTGTTCCACATTAAAGGAGAATTTATGTATATGTATATTGTGGTACAAGCTGGGTCCCAATCTTGGTCCATAAGGGGCTGTTCTAGCTCAGTGATCCAAGTGCTAGTACTTATGTCAGACAGCGTATGAAAGAAAAAAGGATGCTCCCGACATAAGGTGCCATTGAGATTCTTTTGATAACATAGTTTCACAATTGGTGTGTGAGGTCTGCCACAGGCTGTCATATAGGTTGGGTGGCTCAGGAAGTGTCTTATCTGAAAGTATGGCCTGGTGGGAAATTGCGATCAAGAGGTCAGTGAAGACAAGACTTGCTGCTGCGCAAAAGTCTCCTTATAACAAAAATTACCCACTGTAGGTTGTTCTTGAAAATCACAGTGTGAAGGAAAATCAAGATAAGAACCCGGGGGAAAGTCGGGGTTGAAGAGCATAGATGTCAGTGGAATCTGCAGATTTACATTTGGATTGGAAACGCTTTAGCATCAGCCATATGAGGAGTGGTTCACCGCCTCCTGTTGGGTATGGCTAAAGGAAATCCAGGGTAATGTGTCCAACGAGGTTCGACAGAAGGATTGTTATAATTTAACCCAGTCTTTGGGTACATGTACATGCCAATCTACCAGCCTACTGCAGAGCCATACAAAGCAGTGTGCAGAAGCTGACAGGGGGGAGAACTGTATTGTTTACCCCGCTAATACTTAGCGATCACCGGGTGGTGGCGAGTAATCACCGGCCGGGACCCGTAGGTACCAGAGAAAGAGGAGGATCATAACAGAGCTGGGGGCACTGGATAGAGGATGATCACAACAGAAACCCGGTGCACTGGAAAGAGGAGGATCACAACTGAACTGGGAGCACTGGAGAGAGGAGGATCACACCAGAGCTGGGGGCACTGGAGAGAGGAGGATCACACCAGAGCTGGGGGCACAGGAGAGAGCAAGATCACATCAGAGGTGGGGGCACTGGAGAGAGGAGGATCACACCAGAGCTGTGGACACTAGAGAGAAGAGGGTCATAATAAAACTGGGGGCGCTGGAGAGAGGAGAGTCACAACAGAGCTGGGGGCACTGGATAGGAGGTGGAGATCAGCAGAGCTGAAGGACCAGAGAGAGGAAGAGGATAAGTAGAACTTAGGGAACAGAAAGGGCAGGAGAATCAATAGAGCTTAGGGTCCAGCGAGAGGAGGAGGATCAGCAGAACTGTGGGTATTACTGAGTGGGGGATCAGTAGAACTGGGAGTGGGATCAGAAAAGTGGAAAGAGATGGTAGTACTACAGAGTGGGGGTTAATAATGAGCGGGGGATAACCATAGTGGAAATCAGTAGAGCTTGGAACACTAATGAGTGGGGCATCAGCAGAGTGGAGGAGGACTACTGACTTGGGGATACTTCTGCCTAGGACATCAGCAGAGCTAGGGGTTACTAATGAGCAGGAGATCTGCTGATTGAGGTTACCAATAAACTGGGATCTGCTGAATGAGGGTACTAATGAGCTGGGGATCTGCTGAACAGGGGTACTACTGAGCAGTGAATTTGCTGATTGGGGGTACTAGTGAGCTGAGGTTCTACTGGTCCCCCTTAAAACAAATAGAAAATCAACACACTCACAGGGCATTTGCCAACCTTCATTAAAGCATCACAGAAGCATCACTGAACCATCACCAAAGCATCAAAAGCACATAAAAAAATTAAAAGGTTACTAAAGTTACGAAAATTCTTGTACAACTGAATACAACTTTGAAAGTGATGTAATATGTTGTAATGTATTCTTTTGTTTCTGAGCATGCATGGTCTTGCTTTTCCGAATTGTCTTGGACAAATACTGTATTGATTAAATGAAAATCGTACTATTTAGTATCATTTGAAAACACATTTTTTGTTTGGCCTTTCAAATAATTTCAGACAAAAGCTGTGTACTAATGTTTAGATTATCGTATTATCGCTTCAAAAGCAGTATTTTTCACCTGATTTTCTGATCTCGTGTACTAGGCTTTAGCTGCATGTTGAAGATGTTCCTCTGGTTCTTTACTTTAGACATTTGGTTTTACCCCTCTATAAAGGATTTTTTCAATCTACTTACAAGCTTTTGTTTTCATCATATGTAAAGCAATTCTCAAAGGTTCATTAGTCTATGACGTTTGGTGTCAATAGAGAAAGAGTAATATTAAGCTTTTTCTGTGCAAAGAATGTCCTTTATTCACAGGTTTTCTGAGAACACTGTATAAAATGGCAGAAAAATATCTAATAGTACTAGGATGACAGCCATTACTTGAACAAGAAACAAATGAACCTCGTTTTATGAATGAAAACACGCCCATTTTCATTAGTATTTTCTTTTTTATTTGTAAACAATAACCTTTGGAATGTCTGAAACAAATTTGGTATCTCAGGCACAAATATATATATATTTTTTTTATTTTGATTTATTTTATATGTACAGGAAAATAAATATCTTCTTTACTTCCGGGACATGTTAAAATACTGCTCCAGAATCTTCTTAAGTATCCGCTGGAAAATAAGAGTTCAGTGATCATTATAACGATACAAACATGGCAAAGGTAATGATAAAATGCACAAAAGTGAGCGCTATTGGTGAGCTGCTGTAACACCAAAACAACCTTCTGAGACAAGAAGAAAAAATAAGGTGCAGCACTAAATACTGTAAATCTCTGAGTAAAATAAAGTGCTATGTAAATAACTGTGATAAAACAATGTCCAGAATCAACGATAAGGTTATCATTAATCATAAAGTGAAAATAGTGCCAATATTAGTATTGAACTAGTTAGCACAAACAAATGTATAAAGTGACATAGTGTAAGTATTCATCCATTAAAGTGATCGGAAGTGCTAATAAAGTGACAAAGTCTTTGTATTATCAAATAAGCGTGAAGTCTCAGATGAAGGTGATCCTCTAAAACTCTTCTGGTGAGATACAAATAATAAAATTACGCACTCACCAGATGCGCAATAATGTCGTGCATTTGAGAACATACATATCTCAATAGGCCAGCTGGACCTCTATACCCTGGTAAGGATTCTCCTCTGGGTCATCAGTGGAATGCAGCACCTCACACCTCTTATTAAAAATGGCCGACTCAGCTTCAGTAAATGCCCGCCCCTTCCTGTAGTGACTTTGCTTTCTTCTCTCTAAGCGGCCGCACGCATTGCTGTAGAAAGACCTTCCTACAGCAATGCGTGCGGCTGCTTAGAGAGGAGAAAGCGAAGTCATTACAGGAAGTAGTAGTGCTAACTAGTTCATCACTAATATTGGCACTATTTTCACTTTATGATTAATGATAACCTTATTGTTGATTCTGGACATTGTTTTATCACAGTTGTTTACATGGCAAAAGTAACATGTGACTATAGCCTCTTGTTATTAACCAAAACCTGAAGTGCTCCACCTCTTTTTGTGAGAGATGTTTTATTGAGATTCACATCTTACTGGACTGCTGTATCACACATTTCACAGAGCCAGCCTTCTGAGCTACAGAGGTGCTAGGAGGAAGAGTCTCAGGAGGTAAAGTCAGGACAAGAATCAGTGCTTGCAAGAAGCAAGGTACCCTGGGATATGTAGTCCTTAGAAATTGAAAGTAAACCAAATAAATGAGCAAATGGTGGGTGTGCAAAACATGCATGGGATCCGGGACGTTGTGGAAAGCAATGACTAGAAGACAGGCAGAACTCACAACATGAAAGGAGATTTTTCAACTAAGCTTACAGTATATTGGATTGCCAAATATACAGTAACTATTATTTGCATTGGTATTACCTTGCTGATGTTATAAAATGAAAGTGTATGCTGTGACGGTAGAACTCCTTAAGGTGATAATAAAGGCAGGTTTTTTTTTTTAAATAACATACATGTCATACTTATCTGCTCTGTGCAATGGTTTTGCACAGAGCAGCCCCGATTCTCCTCTTCTCGGGTCCTCACCAACACTCCTGTCCCCCTCCCCTCCTGCCAAGTGCTCTCCAGAGCAAACAGATTGCTATTGGG